AAGTCTAAGCATGCTTCACATTCTTCCTGCTCTGAAATTTGGAGCTCTGCTCAGGAAATTTTGGGCAACGCTCCGTTTCACAAGCATAGGAAAGCGCTTTTTTTTTTTTTTTTTAACGGCGCATTTTTTCTTTTGTGTGTGCTTTTTTATGTGTGTGTGTGTGTGTACAAGGTTTTCATATCCTCATGGGAACCTATTTCTGTCTGCAATGTGGGGTTATGGGATCCATTGCTTCTTGAGGGGACATTTTCTAGGTCCCCATGAGAGAAATTGTTGTTTTTGGGTTAGTGGATAAGTATGTGATGGTTCGGTTTAGGGTTAGGATTATGGTAAGGGTTAGGCTGTAGAAATTAATGGATGTCAATGTGAAGTCCCCACAAGTGATGAAAACACGACTGTGTGTGCGTGTCCATGTGTGTGTGTGTGTGTGTGTGTGTGAGCGCAAGTGCATCTGTAAAATCTTCTCTGCACATTTCCCCCTGCTGTCCACCTGCTTGTCACAACTCAGCCAAAATAAGAGATCAGCTTTGTTTTTGTCCACAAGGTTATCATAATTAACCAAAACTAACAAAATGACGAAAATTGAAACTGAGAAAACATTTTCATTAACTTAAATAAAAAAAAACAGTAATTAATGAGGAAAACATCTAACTGATTGGAAATATACTGTTCGTTCATAAAACTATAATATACTGAAATTATAGATCTAATAGCCTTCATTTTGTGTTTATGGATCTATTTTGAATATTTTGAATTGATCTGAAATGTATCTTTTTTCCACACACCAGCAGTTGTTGGCAGATAACGCTAGTCCGCTAAATGGTGTTAGCAAAAGTTGGGAGAAAACACCAGTCAGTCGTTGTTCAACAATAACTGAATACATTTTTTAATAAAACTGTATCTTCCGTTGAGTATCTATTACCCAATCCATGTGCAGCACTTTGGCATTTTTTAAATTCTGCACCAAAAAATTAAACGAAATGTGAAGAAAAAACCTACAACTTATAAAAAACTAAACGATCTTTAGCTAACAAAAACAAGCAAACACACTCTTAAAAACTAATGAAAATAAACTGAATTAGACATAATAAAAAAACGTCCCAACACAATAAAACTAAACTATCATGAAAACTCCCAAAACTATTAAGTCTGCCTCTCCCTCTAGCCTTGCTGAGTCTGACTGAGAGCGACGCCTGAACCCATGGTAACCTGCAAACATGAAAACAAGCAGGCAACCACGAGAAAACACTTCAGCTTGTCATTCTCTCCTCTTTCTGTTTCCACATCCGTCCCTGAATGTGTCTGAAGATCCTGACCAGGCTGGAGGTTAGCTTAGCAAGACCAGATTAGCAGAGCTGATTGGATCCTTCCCAAAGTATGCTACGAGTATGTTTATTTTATACTGAAAATGAGGCATTGTACTTATTATGAACCATATACAATAAGGAAGCTTAACTTGACTTATAAAAGTATAAAGAAAAATCTAAGACTAAGTAAAGCAAAACTTAGTATTTACTAAGTTTATACTTATACCATGGTATATGTCACTTATTACTTATTTCAGACATAAAGTTCTGATTCTTGTAATACATTGATCCAAGTCCAGAAAAAGCTCAAGTCACTCTCATGCTTACATTTAATATGATCATGTGTTGTAAATTGTATAATTTTTATGTACCTTAAAAACAAACAAACATTGAGACATTTTTCTGCTTTTGATTTCTTATTTTAATAATATTTCACTTTCAGTTTATCCTTTCATTTTGCTCAGTGCTTGAAGTTTGTATTTGTTTTGCCTTTGGTATTATCTTCTCGTTCTGGTTTATTCTTTCTGTTAGTTCAGTTTCAGATGTTGGGTTTATGTTTGTTCGGTTTGGTATTTGTTTCTGTTTAGGTTTTATTCCTGCTACTTTCATCTGTTGTCCCAGCTGCTAGTCATTTTCTCATCTATTCTCACACGCTGCCCTCCCAGCTGCAGCTACTTACCTCTGATTAGTTCCTTTGTCATCTCCCCTCCCTCCTCTGCATATCTACCTCTCAGACTCATTGCTCTTCACTGGTTACACATTCCATGTTTCTAGTTAGTTGAATTTTTTCCCCTCCTTTGTTTTAGAAGTTCTTCCATTTCTTATAATAAATCTTCCTTTTGCATTGAACTTGCTGCCTCCTTTAGTCTCCGTTTTGGTCCACATTAATCATCGTCATGACCCTTCCGAACCTCTCAGATCTTCTGATTCTGGGGAAGCAGAAGCTGAAGCAGAACCAGAACCAAACATGGAGCAGCAGCATTCAGCTTCTATGCACCACAAATCTGGAACAAACTTCCAGAAAACTATAAAACAGCTGAAACAGAAAAGTCCAATGCAAGACATTGACATTTGCGGTCTCAGTATAACCACTTGTGTAAAAGTTCAAGCGGTGTGAATACTTTGTGAAGGTAACATACATCTGCCTTATCTACGGCTGACATCTTGTTTTCTTCTTCTTGATCTACACTGCCATCATGCCAAGATCTAAAGAGCTCTCCTGGCTTCAGAGCCTCCATCTGTCTTATTTCGCAATATATCGTTTTATTCCACCTACAAAAGTTCATTACTGGCTGCAGAAAAACCCTGGCAAGATTCTGTTACAAGGCCCGGTGGACTCTGAAGGAACCAACTGGAGCAAAATCACTTCAGTATTCCCACAGCCGTAGCTGCTTCACCCCACAGTGAGGCCAAAGTTAAGATTAATGTCGAAGGATTAGAACGGAATGAAAGAATGAATAATGCTGAAGTGATTTAAAAGCAACTGTTATTCCTCCTGCTATGTCTTTACATCTGTGGCTCCTTCTGATAGCAGAGCTTGCTAACTCCTTCCCTTTCCCTCTCAACCTCGTCTGTTTATTTTGTGTGTTTATTGCTTCAGAATGCAGTTGTGGACCAGACAAGGAGGAAAACCTTTCCATAAAAGCCAGTTTATATGGCCACTTAGGATTTACAGGGGAAAAAACTTCTTCCTTTGTCTCTCTTGCCGCTTTAGTACATGAAATTCCCTACTATTGTGTCCTGTGAACTTAGGATTTCTATAAACTTGTTCCTTTTCCAAAAGTCCAGTAAAAACGTTTGTTCTGCAGTATTTATCCAGAATGCATCAACCAGGCATAGCATCAATCTGTGACATCAGCAGCCTGGAAAGGGAAGTGAATTTCCAAAACAAAATGTTACGGTATAGTTATTATTCTTCAGATTCTTCTTATTTCCTCTCCGTTGTCTAAGCTGTTGTTTTTTGAACAAAGAATTTTGTGATACTTGTGATTCAGATCTTTAGCTTTTATTTTTTTAAGTGAAGATGCCACAAAATATTTCCTAATATGACAGCCTTGATATTTTTAGGAAATATTCTTGGGTTGGCGATGATTTAATAGAGAAACTAAAATAAACTCTCTAACTGGCACTTGCATTTTTTTTTTATTTTTTTTTTTGCTAATCTGATTTTCTTTGGGAGACTTATGGGGAAAACATCTCATTGTTGTGTCATAGGGGATTTTTTTTGATGACTGTGAGGCATTAAAAAAAGGAACGACCATGTTCCTGATGTGTTTTTGAGGTTACAAGGAAACCAGTGGGCATCTTTAGTTACTGTTTACCCATGTGAAAGCGTAGCAGGACATGCACATTTTGCTGCCTCTTGAAGTTGCATAGACATTTTTCTCCCACAAATAAACAAAACGTGTTTTAAAAATTCACCTATAAGCTCACTCCTAGGTTCAAATTTCAGGCTGCACAGTGGCCTTTGTTTGTGGAGTCCGCATATTTGCCCAGTGATACATTACTTTGGTTTTATCCCGTAGTCCAAAAACATTTATGTTCGCTGGAAATATATGGTTAGTAGCAGTAAAAGCTAATGGCTATGTCAAGAAGACAGACTGGGATGTCAAGAAGACAGACTGGGTTAAACACTGACAGACAGGAACAAGTGTATCACTGTGTTTGTGGGAACAGAGGTCAATGCTACTGACCATTTACTGAAGTAAGTTGTTTGATAATTGCTATGTTGTTTTTTCATAAGAGCACTGTTCATTGATTTGGGGCTACTTGTTGCAAAGTTGTGGTTAGCTAAAAAATAGAAGTTAGCTCCAACCAATGTTGTGATTAGCTAAGAGTTGGATAAAATTCCAACCAATGTTGAGTTAAGAGTTAGAAAAAGTTAGCTCAAACCAATGTGGTTAGCTAAAAGTTAGACAAATGTTAGCTCCGCCCATTAGCCATTTCCCAATCATTTAGTTGTCAGAAAAATGAAGGTTGGCAGAGCATCTGTAGAACATTCCCCCCGTGCTTTTTGTTTTCCTGAAGCTAGCTTGCAGTGACTTTAAGCAAACCTTCCCTAAATTTTCCTGCAAAGCCCACCTATCTTCCTCTGTTTTCCCAGTCAGCCACAGCCATTGGCATTGGCAAAAACATGCTGTTCCCAGCTAAAAGCATCAATTTATACTTTTATAATGAAAGCCTGTAGTAAATATAATTACTTTCAGGCAACAGTTTTTTCTCTTTCTTCTTTCCTTGGTTTTGTTTTTAGTTATAGTTTTCAAAATAACTGAAATGGCACTAACCCCGTTTGCCTTTGGGTAGAGAAGCCAATCACGAATTCTGCCACTGCCGACTAAATAACAGGTTAAAGCTGCCGTTCGCTAATTTCCCTCATTAACAATGTCAGCCTGTTTTATCTTGAGAGAGGGTGAAACACCCTGAAGCGCTACTCCCAGAAACTGACACGTAATTCTGTCACAGTTCACACACGCACACACAACAGATGTTCTAAAATACCACAATAACAACAGAGGCAGGCTATGAAATCCCCTTTGAGAGTTTGATTGCTTCACCACACAAGTTTCATAGAGCTTTTAGAGAGGAGACAAACAAGGAGCTATAAGGTTTCAGGAGCTGTATGTGATTACATCAGGGAGGCACAGACAAAACAGAGGGAGGGTTTATTTTAAAACGTTCTCCTGCTTGAAAGTTTTGCCAGCACAATTGTTTCGTTCCAGTGCTGAAAGCGTGCTTCGCTGTGGATTGGTGTGAAAAGTGAGGAGAAGTGATCTGTGAGAACTGCAGCAGGGTAAGGAGAATACAGCTGGGAATTTTGCCTGGAGCGCAGCAGGCTGGAGATCTGTGGCTAAAAGTAAAACAAGCATAAGGAAGAGATGAGGAGAGAGCAAGGGGGACTGGGATGGTGTGAAGGATGAGGTTGGAGGAGGTAGATGATGAGTAAGAGTGGACTTAAAAAGGACACAGGAAGATGATAGAAGAGGAGAGCTTTACCTTATAGGGAAAACAGAAAGGATCCACAGAGCGCTTCACAAGTTTCTACTCAACAATTTGCACATGCAAACTCAACAGACTCTCAATCTCAGACTGGATGTGGATCTGCTGACTTCTGAGGAGAATCCTTCCAGCTTTGGCTTCAGCGTCACTCTGCCTGGGATCTACGTCTCGGCACCTTCGCTGCACCCTCTGTCTCGGTCTGCTAACCTGTGATTTGATGTGTGCATGCTCACACCCACAATGTTGCAACACTAGACAGTCACAAAAGCAGCTCCTCCTCATAAGCAGCAGGTCCCTGGAAGCAGTCGAGCTGTCAGTGACTTGCTGCAAACGCACGCCTGCTCTCGACTCCGAGCTCTCCGCTCTCTCTTTTTTTTTTTGTTTTTTAAAGTTCCTGCCAAGGAAGGAGGAGGATGGAAAGTGTGGCTGAAGAGAAGAGACAGAAAGCAGAGAGAGAAATCTGAGGAACTGAGAGGCTAGAACAATCTGACAGCTCCGATCTGGCTCTGTTCGCTCCGGGTGACTGGAGGATCCCTACAAGTGATCCCTTGCTTTTGGGTCAATCCGGACCTTCGGCGTTTCTCTTAAACTGTTTCATTTCCTCTCTCTTCTTTTGCCTCCACCATGCGAAGAGACCGCTTCCTGCTGGCTACAACCCTTGCAGCCCTTTTCTCTGCAGATTTCTACTTCATTCTTCTGCCAAAGCTGCAGAGCAGGAGACACAGAGCGGCAAACAGTTGCTCGTGTAGCCCAGACAGCAACCTCAGCCTCCCCAGGTTGGAGACTCTTGCCACACCACACCTCTCCAACTGGACTCATGCACCTCTGTCAAGTGCTGCGACTACACCTGAAGTGGATGATGGAGGCTCCAAGCTGCAGAGGCTGTTCTCTCACGCTCTCTACAACATCCAGACTCCAGAGTTGAAGCCAGAGGAGAAGCTGCTGCAGGTGAAGCAGCTGATGGAGTACTACAGGAGGAAGGTGTCACACTGGGAAAGGTCAGGTTCTAAAGCAACTTCACGCAGGGCATTAATGAAAGTCCAACTTTATTTTTGTCAGTGCGTCTTGTGTTTATGTTGATGGAAGGCCAGAAGTCTTCAGCTCTGAGAGCATGCGTTGTGGCATGCTGCAGTTTGAGAGGCAAGGTCAGAGTCAGAGCGGTCAGACCTCTCCAGGGTGCTTTGGAGCACACAAACAGAAGTGCTCTTTTTTTCCCCAAGATGCATACTCACTTTAGAAGTGCAGACGTCCAAACATGTCACTCTGACAGCATGTGTCTTCTGGTCAGCAAGGAATCTAACGTTGCTGAAGCTTTTGTTAGATTATTTTCTGGAAGATTAAACCGTCATTCAGGGTTTATTTTTTCCAAATCTGCCTGTGAGATTCAGACTTTGGACTTTGTGATGAATATTACAACACTTTGAATCTTTGCACATTTTGTCATGTTTGTCACATTTAATTAGTGTAAAACTGTAAAGTGAAAGGATCATTTGCCATTCTAACAGATGAGCCACGTCAGGCGGCATGTTTAGGGTCAGTGTCCTGCCAAGTGCCAACCTCTGATGCTGCTACCTCAGCAGATGATGTCAGAAGAGATTACATTCTTATAGAAGATGTCCAACATCTTGCTGAATGACGCACATTTTCCCAAAAACTACAGCCTGCTCTGTCCCTTCTTGATCAGGCTGCATCTCAAACCACCTGTTGCCCAGGTGAACATCTCATTTCTTCTCCTCAACCACTTCCACTTCTTCTGCCATGATGGAACTTGGGCTTGATGTATTTCTGTTTCACTCACATTCTACTCCATGCCACACAGCGGCCCACCAGCTCTCTGTACTCAGCTTCTTGTTCACCTCTGATCCACCTGATTATCTCTGCAGACGACAGGATTCTGTTCTGTGCTGGAAGTCTGAAGTGTACAAAGTGAAAAGGAATGGTGTGAGTCCAGTGCAGCCGGTCAGACACACACCTTCAGTTTTACAAACTGTTTGTGAGGTAGTCACTGATTCAGGCAGTTGTTGGATCAATAACTGATCTAGAACTCTGTGTCTTTCAGAGCTTGTTGTGAAGCACTTTGTGATTTTTTTTTTAATCTGTGAAAGGTGATGGTTAAAGGTGATGGTGATGGTTAATCTGAGCTGACCTTAGGAAAGGGTTTTGCTTTAATATCTCTTTGGCTCAATGAACCAGTAAAACTTTCCTAGTTGACAGAAAAGTGGTCAAATTGGGCAACACAGCATTACAGGTACTGCAATAACAACTATTTGTCTCCAGCGAATGGGAAAGACACAAAGCAAATACAATTCTAAAAGAACCAAATAATAAAAAAAATTTTTGATTGAGAACGACGATGATGGAAAGATTCATTTCAGTTAAAGGTGTCAGTTCATCATGAAAGAAACTTGATCCATGATTTGGATCATAACAAAAGCAGGATTATTATGATGAAGCGATTTGGTGTTGAATAAGCTGATGTTTTGTTGTGAGATCTTTTGTGTCTTCTGAGTGAAGAGCTCATTTTATCTGTTGTGAATGGGGGGGAGGGTGCAATATTAAGTTCATACTTATGTCTGCTCCATTTCATTCGTGATTTCTTTTCATACCTTCATTCATACTTATGATTGAGTAAAGAAATGAAATTAAAAGAATGAAAGACAAAGTCTTTCCAGCAGCACACCATTCCAGCGCCACAGGCTGCACTTTTCCCAATATTCCCCTGCATTCAGTTCCTTCCAGCACATCAGCTCTAACCTGTCTGACCTGTTTCTGCTCAGTAAAAGCAGCCTGTAGCATGATGCTGTCACCACCAGGTATCAGGCTGCACATGGTAGGTTTTTTTCTTTTACAACTTTAGTTTTCTGTCAGCGGCAGCATTTGATAAGTAGGGCAAAAACTTCAAATTGGATCTGGTTTACCCAGAGCGCTGTCCTCCAGATAAAAACAGTTATTCAAGTATAAAAATACTTTAGTATTTATTGCTCCAGTGTGCTTAACCTGCATCTCAACTCTGCTTCAAGTACACATTTTGTCCACACTCTTCCCAGCTGCCTTGTTTACCCTTCAGGTTGCTAGGTGACCAGGTGGCTAACCTGACCTGCAAACAAACATGAACTTTAGTCCTTTGCTCCGTTGTCTCAGTTTGTTTGTAGCCTGTGATGGAGTTTGAATGTCCAACTGGCTGGTCGGTTTGGACCGGGTTCTGTCCCTCTGACTTCTGCTTTCAGATTACTACTGCCTCAAGCTATAGATTAAAAAAACAAACTGGAACTGTTTTGTGGAAATGTCAGATTTGTTTGTCAATGTCAAATTTATTTATATAGCAATTTAAAAACAGGTTTAAAACTGCACCAAAGTGCTGTACAAAAACGATAAGATAAGTTGATGAAAATAAAAAGAAAAATATTACAAGAAAAGAAAAAAAATCCATTAATCCATTACTCTTATTATTACTTATATTATGTTAGCATAATATAAGTAATATATTACTTATATATTAATATATAAGTAATATATTACTTATATATTACTTATATAAGTAATATATAAGTAATATATATTACTTATATACTTATATATTATATATAATATAATATAATTATAAGTAATTATATTATAATTACTTATAATATAAGTAATTATTATCACTTATATTATGTTAGCATAATATAAGTAATAATAAGACTAACAATCTTATTATTGTTAGAGTAAAATTAAAAAGACAAGATATTTTTCATATAACTTGACCTGATAATCTTACTGTCCTCATGATCCACTATTTGCTTCTACTGCTGTTCTACTATTGCAGATGGTGACTGTGGCTCTGTGGATAGTTTAGTTGTTTTGTGATTGGTAGGTTGTAGGTTTGATTCTAGCTTCCTCCTGCCACATGTCGGTGTGCCCCTGGGCACTTTGCCCCAAATTGCCTATTGATTGGTGTATAAATCAATAGAGTGTTTGTGAGTGCGAATCTAGAGTGGTCAAAATGATTGGAAAAGCGCTATATAAGTTCAGTCCACTTACTTATCCTGCAGGCTCTAATTAATTCTTTTCCATTGTCTGACTCTCTGCAGACGTAAGAAGCTCTTCGAAGAAGCAGCTACTTTGACCAACATGTCGTTGATGGAGCAAAAGATGAGTTATGATCCCAACGCCAGCTGGCTGAGGTTCCACCTGGGAATCAACCGCTACGCCCTGTACACCCGAGATGACCCCGCCATCCTCCAGCTTCTCACCGACATGCAGAACATGACCATCGTTGGAGCAGGTGAAGGGAAATAAAAATGGCATTTCCACTGGCAGAGACTGGCAAGAGTTCACTTGTTTAACAAAAGAGGAGAGAGGTCGAGGAAGCTGAGAGATCAGTTGGCCTTCATCTAAACTGGCTCAGGAATATGAAGAGAGCGGCGTTGTTAAATCAAATTAAGTCTAGCTTAGATCTGACTGAATTTTGCACCATGTTGTGCTGGGCTTTTTTAAAGAAATAAAACTAAAAATAGGTGAATGGGATTAAAAATAGTTTGTAAAGTGGGATGATAAAGATACACAGAGAGGATATAAAGTGGGAGGTGGAGGAGGAGTGGTTTAGAGACAGGCAGACGAGAAGGTCACTAAAAAAACAGGACGTAGAGATGAGGTCAGGATGAATGGATGAGTGGGAGGGAGCCATCTATCACTGGCTCTGAGTTTGAGTTTGACTTTATTGAACATAGGGTAATAAAAGAATAAATAAAGTTACATACAGAGAAAATAAATGTAAAACAACAACAAGCAAAAGAAGAAAAGTAGTGAAGTATATTTACATGTTTAATGCAGTGAGTGGAAGGATGAATTCATTTTCTCACACCCCCCTCTCTTCATCCAATACATAACTGTTCACTCAGTTACAACATTCTTTCTTAGTATTTTCTATATCCACATATATGCATGCAAATATTTTCATATCTGCATGCCATTATGAGCAAGCATCAAACATTTTTAACATGTTAAAATTCTAAGTCAGCATACCATAATGCAGTAATTGTTGACAACTCTTTGCACTACGGCCTAATTAAAATCGTCAACATAATTCATGTTCCAGAATAAAAACAAAACAGTTATTGTTTTTGCTCGTGTATATGAGTTTTGTTTTACATCAAACTGAAACATTTGGGTTTAAATCTTTTTTTTTTTCTTCCAGATTACACCCAGGATGAGAAAGCTCTAAAAGGAGCGTGTGACTGCACTCAAGGTTGGTTCAACTCGTCACTGGTGTTTACCCAGAGGCTGTCGGGTGGGCTCTGTGATGTAGCTAAAAAATAAAATCTGAACTTTTCATGCAGAGGGTATTTTTCATACAGCTCAATTTCTGATTTTAATCTATTTCCCCCCTTCCATTCTTCTCTTAAAAAGATATGATAACTGACAGAACATTTTTATATTTTTTTGCTTTTTGTTCAGTTGACCTGAATTTAAAGTCCAAACACTGAAACACGTTAGTTCAACTCGCTCTGGGTGGACTGACATCACTCTGAAATAAATGGAAATGGAAACCCAAGGAGTGCATTGACAAAAAAAATAAATCCAGATTTTCCAAAAGTAAAATCATAAATAAAAAAAAATTGTATTAATAGATCAAATGGACTTATCGCCCGGCCCTGTCCTGGGCTCTTTATTCTTGCATGTTAAGTTTTTCAGCTCTACAGTTCATCCACATTGTCCTCATTGTTTCCCATTTGTCTCTTGTCGTCTCGTTGCTGCTTGGTACCGAACTCACTGACACACAAGTGTCTTTGTATTCGTCCGTGTGGCTTTTCTTTTGACAGAAAATGGTTCCGATTGGTAGTTTTGTATCGGAGGTTCAGCGCAGGGCAAAAACACCAAAACGCTGGTTTGTTTCAGAGGCAGAGATTAGCCTCCACCCAGGGTTTCGTCTGCTACTTTTCCTCTAAGATATAAAAAATTGTAACTTTTAAAAATATTTGTTCAAACTGTCACCATGTAGAGACAGTATAATATGAGGCAGATAATCTGTGATCTCCTCCACTTCCTCCCTGAGCTGCTATTGCCATCGAAGAAACGCACCAGTCAGAGCCAGGAGGTGGGGCTTAGCGCTGTCAATCAACCTTGTAAAAACACTGCTCAATGTGCTAATGGCGGAGAAACAACTCACCGCTACAGGAAAAACCTTTATCCACCGTCATCGGTGGCCATGCTATCTAACGTTAGCATTTGTAGCAGGCTATGTTGGGAAACCAGGTGCAGCATGGCAGAGAGCAAAGGGGAGAGGGTGGACATGAGAGTGAATGACAGCGCTAAGACCCGCCTCCTGGCTCTGATTGATTGTTTTTGATTGAGTGGGGTGTCACTTACTACTTGGAGAAGGCAGAAGAGCTGGATTTTTTTCACAGGTTATCTTTTATATTATAATGTCACACATAATAATAATTTTAACAAATATGTAAAAAAACGTTTTTTAAAAAGTTACACACACTGCAGCTTTAATACAAAAATAGATAGTGATCTTGAGGTACTATTCTATTCCATTCAGCTGGAAATATGAGAATTACATTGAAAAAAGAGTCTATTCTCAGTGTTTTTGTCCCATTTGTCCCACACCAGCATCCCTGCACAATAAAGCGGGTGACCACACAAACCCGACTCCCTGCCAGAGAGAAATAAACACCAGAACAATCTGCAGATTCTGTTTAAATTTAGGCTGCAGTATCGACTCTTGTTATTTCAGGCGCAAATAGCGACACAGTTCATCAGCTGCAGCTGCTCATAGAAAGTGGCAAGCCTCTGATTCTGCTCCAGAACGGTTTTGAAAGTAAACTCTGAATGATTGTTAACTAATAATACCCTGGATCTTGGTGGAGCGCGGCATGTGGTTAGTCGGGCCGTGCTGCTGGCGCTGTAATATACGGGCTCAACGCAGTGGCTGGATGACCAAACACCAACTCACTTTCTCACACAGAGAGCAAAGAACGGCGGTGATTTACAGACGCCGAGTTCAGGTTCACCGAGCCTAAAGCTTAAATACAGTATTTTTGTATTTAAGTAAAACGTATTCATCCCATTGGAGATTTTACCCTATTATTACTTTTGGAAATCAATCATAATCAAAAGAATTTTGTTTGTTTGACAAAAATCATCTTTAGTGTCAAAATGAAGACTGAGTCTCCTCTGGTGGTGAAAAAGCAGAATTTTCTTCCTCATTACCATGGAGTCTTTTCCCATGTGTTTTTCCAACAGTTAGTATTTATGTCTGCATTTCAAAGGTTCACAAATCTTTGTTTGTATTCTACTGATATAGAAAAAACACAATTTCACAATTTCACTGTTTTCATTAAATAAGAAATGAAGTTAAAATCATGCATGAATAAGCTTGTTTATGCAGTAAGTTGTTAAAATCATTTACATTAGATATTTTCAGAATTCAGCCATGGCTGCTGAAGATTGTAACTCCTTCAGCGTTGTCATGGTGACCTAGTGCGTTCTTCCTGATCTGTCAGGTTGTGATGTCAGGCTGATCTAGGAAGATTTACTCATGTTGCATTTTTCTTTCACTTTTTCATGAATGATTTAGTGGAACTCCAGGGGATGTTCAGGACCTTAGAATTTTTTTGTGTCCATCCCCTGACTTCTACCTTTCAATAAACCTTCCTCTGATTGGTTGGGAGTTTTCTTTAGTTTTCATGCCAGAAATACTGATGAACTTTCCAGACACAGCTGTCTTTATGCTACAATCAAACTCACTGCACTCAGCTGATCTCCAGTCCACTCAATGTGAGACTACTATCACCAGTTGACTGGACCTCTGTTGAATTAGGTCAGTCACTTTAATGGGAGTGAATATTAATGTAATTTCTGATTTCATGTTACACATTTTTATTTCATTGTCATTCATTTGTAGAAATCATTTTTCACTTAGACATTAAAAATTGGTTTTGCCATTCATTTCTGTCAACAAAGCCAAATTATGAAGTAAAAAAAATAATAAAGGGAATTAATGTTCTTATAGGCTCTGTATTAACTAAATGACTTGCCTGAAGTTTTTTTTTTCTTCAAAATAAACTACAGTTTGAAGGTAAATATGTTTTTTCTAGTTCTCAAAACACAAACAAATTAAAATTTTCTGTCGATGTTTTTACCGTCCCAGTTCATGTTGACACATACAGTGATGTGAATTTTTTCTTTTTTTTTTTTTTTTCCCATTAAGCAAATCACATTTAAACATTTAAAATGCAAAAAGTGAGCCAAAGCAGAAGACAAATCCTTTTTTATAAGGTCTGGTTGGCTTGGATTGCTCTTTTCCTTATAAAAAAAAACACCATCTGAAAGCTGCTGTTTGTACCTTCGTCTGATATGAACTTTTATTAAATTATCTGAAACATGAAAAAAACAAAAAACAAACAAACAGAAGGAGTCTTTTAAGGAGTAAATCACCTTCTTCCCGTCTGTCTTACAGTGGTGAAACCGAGTGGCCATCACCTGAAGCTGGCTCTGAAGATGAGCAACTTTGGCAAAGCGATGTTTAAACCGATGAGGTGAGGTGATGACAAGTGACGTGGCTCTTCTAACAGACTCAGAGGCGTTCAGGGTTTGTTTGGTCTGTGAGAAATCTAATAAATCACAGCAAACACTGTGACGCCACGTTCTGTCTTAATTTATATCTGGTTAAATTATCCAGTAGGCTGGGAGAATTACAGTATTTGTCTTGTTGATTACACACTGCAGACTAATGTGAGTGATATCTTTATTGGTGTGTGTGCGTATGTGTGTTTGTGTGTTGCAGGCAGCAGAGAGATGAGGAAACTCCAGGGGACTTCTTCTACTTTGTGGACTTCCAGAGACACAACGCAGAGATCGCAGCCTTCCACCTGGACAGGTGAAGCCACAGTGTTCGGTCTCCGTCCTCTGACATTTTACACAGTGTGTATAAAAAGTACTCAACCCCTTCTGTAGTTTACCCTTTTTGTTGTTTTTGTAAATCAATCATGATCAAAATGTTACTTTTTTGACACCAAAAGAAAAAGAAAAGAAAACCCTTCAAATGCTTTCCACAAAATAATGACTAAAATCTAAATTTGTAACCTGGGTGTGAACTTTAAAGGGTTCACAGCCTTTAGGGTGACTGACCTCATTCAACCGAGATCCTGCCAATAGGTGTCAGTAATCTTACATTAGCTGTGTTTCTGTAATTGCCCAAATTCATCTGGTTCATCAGTATTCCTGCTACCATGACAACACGAAGACTAAAGAACGTTAGAACCAATCAGAGCAAAGGTTACTGAAAAGTAGTAGTCAGGAGATGGAGAGGCCATGTGTTAAGAGAACATGTTCATCTCACATTGGAAAAATATTCGTTTGGACCCCACAGACCCCACATTTACAGTCAAATTTCAAAATGGGAAATATATGTATGATTTATACCAACTTAGAGCTGTATTTAAGAAGAACTGAAGGATTTTTCTTCTTCTGTCTCGTGTTATTTTGTGGAATTTAAGTTTTATAAACCTCAGACGATGTTTAAGAAAACACAAGGAGTAACAGTCAGCCTGCTGGGGCCCATCTGGCTGACTGTTTGAGTTTGAGGGTTTTTTAAAGTGATGATGCTTCCCCCTGCAGCAATGCCGCCCTGAGTGGTGAGCTGCAGTGGTCATATAAATAAATAATATTTCTTCTTCGAGTTGCCAGTATTTTATCTGATCCATGTGGAGGTGGTAGACGCGTTTGTGTTCCATTGAGAGGTAAAAAGCAAAAACATTATCAGGTGTTTTGAAGCCACATGACTGAACAGCTCAGAGTTTTAAACTAGGGGAGCTGGTTTTCCAGTTTTACTAAAATAACCCAGTTTTTATGGGTCCGGTCCTGTGAAGTCCTGTAAACAAAAACCAGGAGGACTCGTCAGTTTGCTGATATCTGTGTTTAAGTTGCAGCTCAGCTTGATCCCACAGCAGACATGGCTCCTCCCACCAACCGCTTATGTGGCTTTCAGAAAAGATTGCAGCATTTCTCCACGGCCCAGGATTTCCCAACTTGCTGATCAGTATAAACCACAGAGTTTGTTTGCAGACTTGACACACACACACACACACATGCACACACACATCTTTAAATGGTTGCACTGTGAGCTGAGGTGAGATGATTCACTCACCAAAAACACAGTCATCTGTGTGAGGCAGTGTGATTAAGGAGCCATAAGTGGTGACAGACGATCAGACAGAGCAGGAGGAGTGGCTCAAACAATAACTATAAATGTCGCTGATATGTCAGAGTTTAGACATATTAAAGTCTACAGGAGTATGGTCTGCACCTTCTGCTTAGTTTCTCCCCTGAATGAGGCGCAGTGCGCCGCGCCTTGTTGTGTCTGACTCGGCTGTCGGCTCTCGTCGTTATCGCTGGCAATGAGGGGTTAAGGAACACCGGCAATTTTAGAAGCAGCAATTCAACTTCACACACTGGATTGCTTGATTACTGTTTGTGAAACTTGAGTGAAATACGGGCCCTGCAGGGATTCCAGGCTCGTGCGTGTGTGTGCGTGGGTGCGTGTGC